CTCAGTTGTCCTCAGTGTGAAAAGATGGATCTCAAAATCATACAGTCATTGTTGGAAAGGGTTCAAATACACAAAAATGCTGGAAAACCAAAGAATTTGTGTGACCTGAAGGGTTTTTCTGAAGAACAGCAGGCAGTTTAACTGTTCAGGACAAACAAGGGACTCATGAACAGCTATCACAAAAAAAACACAAAAAAAAACTGCTGTGGATCATTGAGTTTAAGAATCATGTAAACTTGTAAACTTTTGACCGGGGTCATTTTTATAAATTCAACTATTATTTTCTCTTGTGGACTATATGTAAACATCTTTTATGTGAAATATCTTATTCAGGACAGTACTAAATAAACAATAACGTGCATTTTGTATGATCCCTCTTATTTTGGTAAAATAATTAACATTTTGCAGATTCTGAAAGGGGCATGTAAACTTTTGACCTCAACTGTATGTGCCTATAAAGGCTTTATTTTTTGTTATCGGTGTATTCATGCTTTATATATTGCATATCATTTATAAGCATAAGGCTGAAACCATAAACAGGAAAATTAGGCAGACAATCGATTTGTTGACTCAAGATATTGTGGACCAAACACCATTAAGACTTTTTAATGTAGGTAGGATAAAAGCTTATGTTTGAATATTGACAGGAAGAGGAAGTCTCCCCTCAGCTCTTCACGTTCCACGAGGCGGTGTCTCAGCTGGTGGAGATGGAGGAGCAGGTTCTGGAAGACCACAGGGCTGTGTTTCAGGTGTTTATTCCTCTGAGGTCCCTTTCACACTAGAGCTTTTTAGTCCAGTTGACGCCAGCGTTTGGTTTGTTGTGCTTCTTTGTTCTGAACTCTTTACTTTCGTTTGTACTCAGATACGGTTCAGTCCCAAAACTGAAAAAGGGAATTGCTAATGATGATGTTCACACTATATGTGCTGACAGGAGTCTATCAGGTGGCTTGAGGATGAGAAGGTTCTCCTGGAGATGACTGAGGAGGTGGACTACGACGTGGACTCCTACTCTTCTCAGCTGGAGCAGATTCTCGACCAGAAGATTGAGATTCTTATTGAGCTCAGAGGTAAAGCATCCTCTAGAATGTTCTTTCCTTTCAATTTTCCTCTGATGGAATGATTATTAATGGACGTGTGTCTGCTCGTATTATCAGATAAAGTGAGGTCATTCCGTTCTGCTCTCCAAGAGGAGGAACAAGCCAGCAAGCAGATTAACCCCAAGCGGCCCCGTGCGCTGTAGCCTGGAACAATCTCACAGAGAAACGGCAAACACAAGAGTCCTGTAGGCTTCTTGATAGTATTCTGAAGAAACCTTTCCTACTTTCACATGTGAAATAAAGCGTTAGGTAATTCTCTTACAAATCAGCAGAGGATAAAATAAGGGGATTTTTCTGATCATTAAAACCCCTGAATGATTCTGAGGAAAGCTTTAGAATTTTTTTATTAGAATCGATTTTATTTATTTACTTTTTCATTGTAGGTTAAGGGTACAGACTTGTATCAGTTGATACTCACGTTTTTTTTTAGTTGTACCACTGAAATCCTTCTTTCGAAGTTGTTCTAAATTGTATGCATGAACGCCCGTTCCTAGCATGACTGACTTGGTTCATCTGCACTTTAATAACCTTGTTTTTTGGGGGTCCGTTTACCGTACTTGGCACGGTGTATGTTTCTGTTGATTGGCTGTTACAGCATTTTACTCTGTTTCACTTCTTGAAGGCTTAATAGATGAAGTTGAAGTTCTTGAAGAAGCATAAAATGCGCTGGGAGAAAATCTTGAGGTTATGTAAATGAATGTGAGAATTGTCAGCAGTTAGTTTTGTTGGTTTATCAATGACCGCTGTCACTTTTCCACATGATACTCTCTTTGCCGTCTCTCTCTCATCTGTTCATCTGTAAAATGCTTTCGTGCCATATCATGTTTCCTTGTGGAAAGGAAGTTAACAGTCCACCAACTTAGTGTTTTGCTTTTAAAACTTCCCAACATTCTCACATCTCCTATTAAAAATTGTACAATGTTATAACTTTCAGCAAGATTCTCATAACAAATAGAGAATACCACTTATCTGCTGCTGAGGTTTTCGGTGTTGGCACCTCTCAATTCAGTGGTTGCTAAATAAATGATTCAACAAAATTCTGCCTTTTTATCCTGTTTCCTGACTTTAATTTTTTTTTATTCCTGTTTTAAGAGTACTGAAATTGTGATTTCCTATGTTTGTAAAAATAGAGGAGAGTTTTATTTTAGTGATTTTGTCCAAGAGGTTGAGACAAAGTATAAAAGTTTAATAATAAGTAAGTCTGACTCTTCCGAGGACATTACAGTTAACTTTTTCTACATGTACCAACATAACAAACTGAAAATTAAATACAAATTAATAAAAACTATATAGACATAAAACCTAATACAAATGACAAAAACAATACTATATACAAAAATATGAAAATGTCTAATTCAACATAAAAAAATATAGTATAAATATCTCATTGATACTAAAATAACACGGGACTCTTCATACCTGAAGTAAAAATACTTCTCTTTGATATTTTATATCGTAGATATACATTTTTTTTAAGTAGAACTTATTCAAGCAACTACACTGAAGTCGTATGCTGATTTTAATACCGGTTTGAGTCGATGCAGTTTCAAAGTTATTGTCGTAGGGGGCGCAGTTTACTCACAATTCTGTCCCGTTAATGAAGAAAAAAAGGGGGTTGGATAAATAAACAAATAACAATTACGGCAGTATAAACATAAGTAAAAGCCCGAAACAAAACTTCTAGACGTACCGTCAATTTTTACTATTAGTAATAATTTAATTTCAATCTATAGATTTTGTACACATTGCTAAAATTCATGAGAAACCATGCCATCTGTTTTTGTATTGCAGTACTAATGAATGAATGAGGCATTTATATAGCGCTTTACTGTGTATTGCTGTACACCCAAAGCGCTTTATAATCATATGAGGGGCTCTCCTCAACCACCACCAGTGTGCAGCATCCACTTGAATGATGCGACGGCAGCCACAGGACAACGGCGCCCAGTGCGCTCACCACACACCAGCTACAGGTGGAGAGGAGAGAGAGAGAGAGCCTATCAAGTGGATGGGGATTATTGGGAGGCCATGATTGACAAGCGCCAGTGGAGGCAATTTGGCCAGGACACCGGGGTGTAATGAACGACTGTTCATTATTATTCCAAATTTAAATAATTGGATTTGAAAAAATCAACACATCTGATTGATGTAAAAAAAACAAACAAACAAAAAAAATATATTACTATATATATATATGTATTAAAAAAAAAAAAACATTTCATCGCTTGATTTTATTTTGAAATGCCTACTTCCGGAAGGCGTTGTCGTTGCGTTGTTGAAGCGCTTTTCGCGCCTCCGCATCTTTTCCACGCCGTTTACCCTGCTGTCGGTTAACCATCCTTCACCTAAGCGTGTTCTCCGTTGCCGTGGACGTTTCTTCGTCCCGGCATTTCTTTTAATTTATTTATAATTAATTTAAGAATTCAACTTTTGGCATCACACGGGCTTCTCCAGTGTAATGCTGCGGGGAGAAAGACATCTTCACCACGTAAACAGGTAACGTTACTATTGATCACAACCCAACTTCATTAATCACGCTGCTTAATTCAAATTGTATAGGTATATCACATTTATCATCTTGTCTGACACGTTTGACAGCTCTCTATCAAGCTGACGACGTCACTCTTCAGATTGTTATCAAGCTGACGTCATCCTCCAGATTTAATGGGCTGTTAATAATCTTATAAATAGAGTTAACTGGTGAGTACCTCATAAAACATACGGCAGATCAATGTCATAGTTTAAGGGCTTGGTTTTATTAGATCCCAATGCATCGTTCTCGTATCTTTCTGTCCTGTAACTGCCCTATTCCTGTACTGTCAGGTGTGTTTTAGGGTGGTGGGTAAACAAAGGTACTGTTGATCACAGCCGAACTGTATTAATCACACCTCCTCTAAAATGGGTTTAATATATAATTATAGTTGTAAAAAATAAATGTCACGTCGTTATTTTGTTATGCCTAAAATAAAATGTATATAAAATGATACTGAAGACCCTATTAAATTACAAAAATAATGTTTTCTTTGTTTTATAGCTGTGAGATCAACTATATACAGTACTCATTAAAGTTGGCGAAATCTTTAAGCTGAGGTCGAAGACAGAGCAAAGTATTTTAAAAGGCATCAAAGTATAAATTTATATGAAGTATGTAAATTTATATCATATATATATTTGCTTATAATTGTATTAAAATATATTAAAAGGTATCAAATAAAGTATAAAACCACCAGTAGAACATCTGCTATACTATAATTGAATATTCTTCCAATAATTTTGAATAATTTCATAATTTTAAAATGAAAAAATATTAAATTAAAATGAAGTATTATATCAGTTTAGAATTATACATGCATATATTTATAATTTTATTCTGTAAAAATGTTTTAAGAGGTGTCTATTAAAGTATAAAAGCGCTGGTAGAACATCTGCTACATTATAATGAAATATTCATAGCCTGTAATTTTAATTTAAAATTTAATTTTAACATTTAAATTAATTCACTTTTATATCAGTGTATATGTATATACATATGCATATGCACTATTGATTATAATTTAATTCAAACATAGCCTGTAATTTTAATTTAAAATTTAATTTTAACATTTAAATGAATTCACTTTTATATCAGTGTATATGTATATACATATGCATATGCACTATTGATTATAATTTAATTCAAGTAGAATATACGGCTAATTTTGTTTTAGTGGGAGAAAACAGTCCTCGTCCCATTTGATCTTTAAAATTCTCTGTTGTCCTTGAGAAATACATTTAGCTTGTTGATTGTCCCAGACTGTAGTGTAGCTTGACTGTAGCGTATAGAAATCATTTACTAAATAGCAGTCAACTAAGTAACTATTACACCACCCCACAAAAACTTTAATTATAAATTCCAGTTTTTCAGTAGTGTCAGAGTTCTTCCATTTGTTCAAAAATAATTTATGCATGCCACTGTATTTGCTCCCGTAGATCTAATCCCATAATCTCATTGTGGATTCAACGCTCACCACGCCCACGCAGAGAAGCATGAGCTCACACAAGAGACCTGTCCGGGCTCGGCCCGATTCAGACAACAATTTCTCTGTGGCCCGTGACCTGAACGCACCAGGTGTGGAAGAGGGCCCCGGTCTCCTGGCCAAGCTGATGGAGCTTCCTGTAGCCCGTCTGTCCCGGCAGCAGCTCAAAAGGCTGGAGGAGCATCGGTACAGCAGTGCGGGACGGTCCCTCCTGGAGCCCTTCATGCAGGGATTCTGGTGCTGGCTGGTGAGCAAAGTGCCTCTCTGGATGGCGCCGAACCTCATCACCATAGTGGGACTCGCTACTAATATTATCAGTACTCTGATACTGGTATACTACTGCCCTACTGCCACCGAACAGGTATTGTGCACTTCCACTGCTTCAGTAGATTCCATTACTGGTTTAAACAGATCAGCTACAAACCCTAATTCATTTTGTTTTCACTTGCTAATAATTGACAGCTCTCTATCAAGCTGACGACGTCACTCTTCAGATTGTTATCAAGCTGACGTCATCCTCCAGATTTAATGGGCTGTTAATAATCTTATAAATAGAGTTAACTGGTGAGTACCTCATAAAACATACGGCAGATCAATGTCATAGTTTAAGGGCTTGGTTTTATTAGATCCCAATGCATCGTTCTCGTATCTTTCTGTCCTGTAACTGCCCTATTCCTGTACTGTCAGGTGTGTTTTAGGGTGGTGGGTAAACAAAGGTACTGTTGATCACAGCCGAACTGTATTAATCACACCTCCTCTAAAATGGGTTTAATATATAATTATAGTTGTAAAAAATAAATGTCACGTCGTTATTTTGTTATGCCTAAAATAAAATGTATATAAAATGATACTGAAGACCCTATTAAATTACAAAAATAATGTTTTCTTTGTTTTATAGCTGTGAGATCAACTATATACAGTACTCATTAAAGTTGGCGAAATCTTTAAGCTGAGGTCGAAGACAGAGCAAAGTATTTTAAAAGGCATCAAAGTATAAATTTATATGAAGTATGTAAATTTATATCATATATATATTTGCTTATAATTGTATTAAAATATATTAAAAGGTATCAAATAAAGTATAAAACCACCAGTAGAACATCTGCTATACTATAATTGAATATTCTTCCAATAATTTTGAATAATTTCATAATTTTAAAATGAAAAAATATTAAATTAAAATGAAGTATTATATCAGTTTAGAATTATACATGCATATATTTATAATTTTATTCTGTAAAAATGTTTTAAGAGGTGTCTATTAAAGTATAAAAGCGCTGGTAGAACATCTGCTACATTATAATGAAATATTCATAGCCTGTAATTTTAATTTAAAATTTAATTTTAACATTTAAATGAATTCACTTTTATATCAGTGTATATGTATATACATATGCATATGCACTATTGATTATAATTTAATTCAAGTAGAATATACGGCTAATTTTGTTTTAGTGGGAGAAAACAGTCCTCGTCCCATTTGATCTTTAAAATTCTCTGTTGTCCTTGAGAAATACATTTAGCTTGTTGATTGTCCCAGACTGTAGTGTAGCTTGACTGTAGCGTATAGAAATCATTTACTAAATAGCAGTTAACTAAGTAACTATTACACCACCCCACAAAAACTTTAATTATAAATTCCAGTTTTTCAGTAGTGTCAGAGTTCTTCCATTTGTTCAAAAATAATTTATGCATGCCACTGTATTTGCTCCCGTAGATCTAATCCCATAATCTCATTGTGGATTCAACGCTCACCACGCCCACGCAGAGAAGCATGAGCTCACACAAGAGACCTGTCCGGGCTCGGCCCGATTCAGACAACAATTTCTCTGTGGCCCGTGACCTGAACGCACCAGGTGTGGAAGAGGGCCCCGGTCTCCTGGCCAAGCTGATGGAGCTTCCTGTAGCCCGTCTGTCCCGGCAGCAGCTCAAAAGGCTGGAGGAGCATCGGTACAGCAGTGCGGGACGGTCCCTCCTGGAGCCCTTCATGCAGGGATTCTGGTGCTGGCTGGTGAGCAAAGTGCCTCTCTGGATGGCGCCGAACCTCATCACCATAGTGGGACTCGCTACTAATATTATCAGTACTCTGATACTGGTATACTACTGCCCTACTGCCACCGAACAGGTATTGTGCACTTCCACTGCTTCAGTAGATTCCATTACTGGTTTAAACAGATCAGCTACAAACCCTAATTCATTTTGTTTTCACTTGCTAATAACAGTGGTATAGTGCAGATTCAAAATAATGTCCATGCAAAATGTGATGAGAAAAATATTTAGCAGTTATTTTAATTATTATTCATTATTTTAATATCAGTTTTAGTGTAGTTCTTATTATTTAGCAGCCGTTACACTGGTCAGTTACATTAGGTCTCGGTAATTTTTGCTGATTTTAATATCGGTTTTAATATAATTATGAATATTTAGAATTAAACAGCGGTTGCAGTGGTCATTATCAAGATATTTTCTTTTTGCTGATTTTATTATCAGTTTTAATCGAATATTTAGTAGCTTTTGCAGTAACCACTATTAGGACGTTTTTGGTTGTTGCTTTTAATATCAGTTCAGTATTCAGAAAGAATACTAAGTAGCTTTTACAGTAGTGTCTAATTATCGTTATCGATAAAATCCCATAAAATATCGAGATATACTTTTTTGTCAATATCGCACACCCCTAGTAGTTATCTGGTCTTTTTTGTTGATTTTAATCAGTTATATTTTAATTATGAATATTTAACAGCTGTTGCAGTGGTCACCGTTAGAACATTTTGTTGTTGATTTTAATATCGGGTTTTTTTTTTCAGTTTAGTTTTTAGTTTTAGTGTTAATAGTTATTGCAGTGGTCATCGTCATTGTTTTTTGTTGGTTTTAATATCAGTTTAGTAAACTTTTAAGTATATAATATCTATTAGAGTATCATACTTTTTTGTTGTTGTTGATTACTTTTAATTAATCATATTTAAGATAAATTTTTAATCTAATTATGATTGTTTAGTAGCTATTACAGTGGTCACCATTAGAACATGAACTTTTTGATGATTTAAAATCAGTTTTATTTGATTATTAATATTTAACGGCTTTTACAGTGCCCACCATTAGAACATTGGTCTTTTTTGTTGTATCAGGTTTAGATTTAGTTCAGTTGTAGTAGTGACCACTAGGACATGATCTTTTGTCAACTTTAATATCAGTTTCGTATAACTTATGCAGTAGGATGTGGTCTTTTTTGCTGATTTTAATATCGGTCTAAGTGTAACTATAATTATTTAGTTGCAATTGCAGTAAATTCTTGGCTGTTCTTTTTTACCCTGCCTTGCATATAGTCTATGAAGGCCATAATTTAGTATATTCTGAGCTCTCCAGAGGAGATAATTGCTGTGGTCTGTTTAAACAGTGCAATAAGACACTGTGTATTGTCAGACACGGCTTGTTCTGTCAGCTGTTACAGCCTGTGTTTATCAGCTATAACAGTCTTATGATTCCTGCTGTTATGGAAAGCATCTTCATTGTTCAAGTCTGCAATACAACACCCTCTCTCTCTCCCCGTACCATTTGTATCCACAATAAGGCTTATAGAGATAAAAGAACGCATTAATATCCACCTTTGTGGCAGTAAGTATGAAGTTGCATGTTAGTCATTGGTGCAGTGCGAAGCATCAAAGTGGACCGAAATTTAAGCCTGTTTTATCTTTTTCAGGCACCAACGTGGGCATACTTGGCCTGTGCTTTGGGTCTGTTCATCTATCAATCATTGGATGCCATAGATGGGAAGCAGGCACGAAGGACCAACAGCAGCACACCACTTGGAGAGCTCTTTGACCATGGCTGTGACTCCCTCTCAACAGGTCTGCTCACGTTTGTGTATGCAAATACAGTCAGCTACTATATTACACTTAGATCCATGGCACTATGTTTTATTACTTTATTATTAAATTCATCTAAAAGATTGAGCTCTAAAGATTAATGTTTTTTTTTTAAAGAATTCTCTTCTGCTCACCAAGCGTGCATTTATTTGATCCAAAATACAGCAAACGCAGTAATGTTATGAAATATTTTTACTATTTAAAATAACTGCTTTCTATTTTAATATATTTTAAAATGTAATTTATTCCTGTGATTTCAAAGCTGAATTTTTAGCATCATTACTCCAGTCACATGATCCTTCAGAAATCGTTCTAATATTCTATTTTGCTGCTCAAAAAACATTTATTATTATTATGTTGAAAACAGCGGAGTAGAATTTTTTTCAGGTTTCTTTGATGAATAGAAAGTTCAGAAGAACAGCATTTATCTGAAATAGAGATCTTTTGTAACACTATAAATGTCTTTATCATCACTTTTGATCTATTTAATGCATCCTTGCCAAATAAAAGTATTAATTTCTATCATTTATTTTCCAAAAAACTGACTCCAGGCTTTTGAATGGTGTAGTAAAAGGATCTCCAACCCTGCTCCTAGAGAGCTACCATCCTGCAGACTTCAGTCCTAACCCTGCTCCAACACACCTGTCTGTAATTATCAAGTAGCCCTGAACTCCTTGATTAGCTGCTTCAGGTGTGTTTGATAGAGGTTGGAGCTGAAATCTGCAGGAGCAGGGTTGGAGACCCCTGGTATATTATATAATGTTACAAAATCTTTTTATTTCAGATAAATGCTGATCTTTGGATCTTTCTATTCATCAAAGAATCCTGAACAAAATGTAATAATAATAAGTTTCTTGAGCAGCAAATCAGCATATTAGAATGACTTCAAGGATCATGTGACACAGAAGACTGAAGTAATGATGCTGAAAATTTAGATTTGATCACAGGAATAAATTACATTTTAAATTATATTCAAATAGAAAGCAGTTATTTTAAATAGTAAAAAATATTTCACAATATTACTGCTTTTGCTGTATTTTGGATCAAATAAATGCAGGCTTGGTGAGCAGAAGAGAATTCTTTAAAAAAGATTAAAAATCTTACTTTTCAAAACCTTTTGACTGGTAGTGTACATTTGAGTAGAGATGTATAGATCAAAATGTATTATCTATCAATATAAACAGATGATAAATTATATTGGCTGAAGCCCAAAATTCTAGACACAAAGTTCTTCTAGACACACTGGGCTTAAAAACCAAAAAATTGTATAAGAAAATGTGTCTATTATAAAAAGCTATTCTATTCTATTATAATATTAAAATTATTTATTTTTATATTATAATGTATTTCTTACTAGAATAACGTGGACTGGTGTTCTATTTTTAAAAATATTGTGTAAAAATAGTTTAGACTTTTGACTTGACGACAAGAGCTTCCAGTGCAGAAGAATGTACAGACATAGTGCAGACATACATAGGAATGACACAGTAGAAATGGAATATAACACTAATATAAGAAAAACAGAAAATTAAAGAGGTCATATGATGTGATTTCAATTTTTCCTTTCTCTTTGGAGTGTTACAAGCTCTTGGTGCATAAAGAAGATCTGTAAAGTTGCAAAGACTAAAGTCTCAAATCCAA